GCTGGGGGTTAACATTGCCTACAAACCCACTCAACTTCAGCTCTGAAATCTTTTGTTTTGTTTCTGTGACGGGGTCCCCAAACCACTCACGAATCACACAGAGAAAGGCATCAGCCAATTCCTCCCAGCTCCCCAGCCTTGCATCCCCAAACTATATTGTCTTTCTCTGGTCAGAAGCCTGACCAGTGTAAATTTATTACCCAGTCTGCCCCTCCCTCAGTGTGGAGAGGACATGCACCAGCCTTTGAACCTGAGCTGAGATTTCCCAAGCACTTCGACTAAACCACCTCGTTTTAGGTAAAATATAAAACAGATTTATTAAATACGGAAAGATAGATTTTAAGTGATTATAAGTGGTAGGCATAAGAGGTCAGAGATAGTTACCAAAGAAAATAAAAGATAAACACACAGTGTAAATCTTAAACCTTATTACACTAAGCAGTATTTAGATCAAGCAATTTTCTCACTCCCCTGGATGTTACAGTTCTTAATACACAGGTTTCTCTCTTAAGCCTGGACCAGTCTCCTCAGCTGAAGTTTTTGTCTTCTCAGCGTTCTTGTTGCTTCCAACATAGGTGGGAGGAGAAGAAAGGCAAAGGCATGATGCCACTGTGACGGGTTGCATCACAGAAACCCCCTTGGGAGCTGCCATCTGATGTGCCAAGACTACTTCCATCCCTCTGCTTTCCCTGCCAGCTCAGGACTCCAGCACCCTGTCTTGCTGAGCCAGACACTCCCGTCTGCTCCAGCAAAGACCCAGGGTCTGAATTACTTGCCCCAAAGCTGCAGGTTGACCTGAAAACAGCTCACAAAAGTGTTCCCGTCTTTAACACTCAGATGCCCAACTCCCAATGGGGTCTAAACTCAAATAAATCCGTTTTACCCTGTATAAAGATTATGCAGAGTAAACTCATAAATTGTTCGCCCTCTATAACACTGATAGAGAGATATGCACAGTTGTTTGCTCCCCCAGGTATTAATACATACTCTGAGTTAATTAATGAGTAAAAGGTGATTTTATTAAATACAGACAGTAGGATTTAAGTGGTTCCAAGTAGTAACAGACAGAACAAAGTAAGTCACCAAGCAAAATAAAATAAAATCCACAAATCTATGTCTAATCAAACTGAATACAGATAATCTCACCCTCAGAGATGTTCTAGTAAGTTTTTTCCTCAGACTGGACACCTTCCAGGCCTGGGCACTATTCTTTCCCCGGTACAGCTCTTGTTCCAGCTCAGGTGGTAGCTAGGGGATTCTTCATGATGACTCCTCTCTCTCTCTCTTCGTTCTGTTCCACCCCTTTATATATCTTTTGCATAAGGCGGGAACCCTTTGTCCCTCTGGGTTTCCACCCCCCTCACTGGAAAAGCACCAGGTTAAAGATGGATTCTAGTTCAGGTGACATGATCACATGTCACTGCAAGACTTCATTGCCCTCTTGCCAGCACACACATATACAGGAAGACTCACAGGTAAAACACAGCCATTTGCAGACAATGGTCCTGGTTAATGGGCGTCATCAAGATTCCAAACCACCATTAATGGCCCACACTTTGCATAATTATAATAGGCCCTCAGAGTTATATTTTATATTTCTAGTTTTAGATACAAGAGTGGTACATTTATACAAATAGGATGATCACACTCAGTAGATTATAAGCTTTGTAATGATACCTTATAAGAGACCTTTTGCATGAAGCATATCCCAGTTACATTATAATCACTTATCATATTTTTATAAAACCATACAGACTGCACAACGTCACAGCCACTGTTTCCTGTTTTATATCCTTAGTCCATGTGCCTAAAAGACACTTGCACAGACATATCCTGGTGGGCTTTGCTGAGTCACTGGGTTGTGCAATCTTCCTGGGTCTTGTGCAACTGAGTCATAGAGTTGAACAGTCCCCATTGTGTGGTGCTTGGGCAGCCCTCATTGAATTGTAAATCCCTTGATTACAACTCCCCTGGTGATTAATGCTCGTTGCACACCCTCCTGGGAGTGGTTTGCTTTCTTTGTATGTCCCTAGCAAACTTACAACATATTTCAGTAACAACCATATAGCACAATTTAATCACTTGATACACACTAACAATATACGTATTTGAACAGAACAATGAGATTCAGCAGATCATGACCTTGCACATAATATCTTACATGACATGCTTTATATAAAATATATCATAATTATATGACTGTGGTGAATATGGGGTCTTCAGGGTGCTGTTTGAGGTACAAAGTGCTACAGTATCTTCTGTCTTTGGATCAATCATAAGCAAAAAAGAGATTTCAACTCAAGATGTCCTTGTTTCTAAACATATGTTTGATCCATTAAATCGTGCTGCCCCTCTACTTTTCGCAGAGGAGTGGAAAGTTCTCCCTATAATTCTCCTTGCCGCATCCTTCACCTCCTTGTTCCTCAGGCTGTAGATCAGGGGGTTTAGCATGGGGATCACCACCGTGTAGAAGAGTGAGACCAGTTTATCTTGGTCCAAGCGGTAACTGGAAGTGGGCCGTAGATACATGAAGATCATAGTGCCGTAGAATAAAGTGATAGCTGTCAGGTGGGAGGTGCAAGTGGAGAAGGCTTTCTGCCTGCCCTGAGCGGAACGGATTCTCAGGATGGATGAGAGGATGTATAGGTAGGAGATAAGAATGAAGATCAGGGTGCTGAGTCCAGCAAAGATACCTAAGGCAAACAGCACAAGCTCGTTGATGTCGGTACTGGAGCAGGAGAGTTTCAGGATTGGGGGGATGTCACAGAAGAAGTGATTGATAGTGTTGGAGCAGAATTGTAAACTGAACACTGAGCCAACGTGCACTGATGTAAGTACAATGGCCACTGCATAGGACCCCCCAGCTAGATGGACACAGACTCTTTGGGACATGACAACCCTATAGAGTAGTGGGTTACAGATGGCCACGTAGCGGTCGTACGCCATCACAGCCAGGAAATAACAGTCAGCAAGTATGCAAAAGCCAAAAAAGAACATTTGTGTTGTGCACCCAGAATAAGAGATGGTTTTTCGTTCTGCTAAGAAATTAACCATCATCTTGGGAGCAACAGACGAAGAACAACCAAGGTCTATCAGAGACAAGTGGCAGAGGAAAAAGTACATGGGGGTGTGAAGCCGGGAGTCAATGCTGATTAATATGATCATCCCAAGATTCCCCACCAGGGTGGTCACAAAGAACATTAGGAACACCATGAAGAGGACGACCTGCAGATCTTGTTGATTTGTGAGTCCCAAGAAAATGAACTCATCAATTATAGTCTGATTTCTTCTGTCCATTCCTTGAACAGACGTAAATCTCTGAGAAGACAGAAGGCAAAGCATACAAGTGAGCTGACATGGATGAATGGGTAATACATGGAGACACCTAAGACTCTCCCTGTTGCCATGAGATGGGGAGTATTGTTATATGCTGAGGTTTCCAAAGGAGCCTAAGAGAGTTAGACATGCATTGAAACAAATACCCAATACAGGGAGAAGATGCACATTTAGTGGATAAATGGACACGGCTGATATTATCCTTAAATATTTGGATACAAGGTTATCTGTCAGGCTGCCTCTCTCTCAATTAGGTATTGTCACATTTATGATCACTGAAAATACTCAAGATGGAGTCCCCTCAATTTAAAAGGAGGGCATAGAGAGGAAAGATAATCCCACGGTTATGGCTCACACTTGGGACTCTGAAGATCTGGATTCAATCTCTGACCCCTCACAGGCTTCCTGTGAGAGCGTGGATAGGTTACTTAGTTTCTTTCTCAGTTGCCTGCCTGTAAAATGGGGATACTAGAGCTTCCCTACCTCATGGGATTGTTGGGAGGTGCTCAGAGCTATGGTACTGGGATCAGATAAGTAACTAAGAAAGATGGGGATTTGCTTACCCACATCATCTGTCAAAACCCAGATTTACTAATCTTGGTAACATTTAATCCATTTTGCTGAGAGGAGGCAACTAGGTTGACAGAACAATCCTTCCTTTGACCTAGTCGTGTTTACAGTGGGGGTAGGGTCGACCTAACTATGGTGCCCAGGGCGCTGATTTTTTCACAGCCCTGAGTGACTTAGCTAGGGTTACCCTACATTTTAGTTGTAGACCTAGGCCAAGCACTATTAGATACTGCCATCAACAAAAGGCTAGAGCATGGTTACAAGAAAGCTGGGGTCCCACATCTGGAGTCAGTATAGGGAATGCGAATTGATAAGAGGAGAATAAATGCCATGCTCCCATAATTCATTGCCCATCTTTTAACCTTTTGAATTTAATAAAGTTTCGCACTTTCTTATCATTGTCTTGTTTATATTACTGTAGTCTCATGTTTTAGAGACAATGAGAACTATGAATAGGTCGTTTAATTATTAAATGCCTGATCTGTCCAACACTTTCTACTGAGCTTAACAATTAAGTACCATAAGTATTTCCACACAAGGCCATTCTCAAAAGCACCTGAATGAGTTAGGAGCCCAAATCCCACTATCTTTCAAGGGGACTTGTATTCATAACTTCCTACTGCTCTTTTGAAAATAGTTAAATTGGTACAAAATCTGTGGGTAGACAAGGACTCAGCACCTCTCTCTCTCTCCCTCCTCCCCCCTCCATCCATGTAAATGAATCAGACCAATCAAGCTACAACAGTTAGTGATGTTACTGCATGAATTTATCCCTTTACCCTTCTCTTCCCTTCTATTTCTGCCTCTTATTATTTGAATTAAAATGTTCGCCTCTTGCCGAGTGTTTGTACACTGCCTAACACAATAGGGTATTGGGGCTTTTGGTTGCAACTGTGATAAATAATAATACATCTGTGTTGATTTTAATGTATTAATGTTCTATCGAATAATATTATTGTTAATATTATTGGCTATGACATTAATATACTAAAACTGCGTCTATTATTGTTATAGCAGACCTGGTTTAAATATATTAATGTTATATAGTTAATTATATTAGTAACAGTCACCACCACCCTAACATCCTGGAATGTTTTTTTAAAAAATGAAAAAATATTTGGCAGTATCTCATTCTACAGGGAAATGCAAAATTATACCATTGGCAACTAGTTCAAGTCTTTTTTCTATAGCTGGCTAGCATTTATGGTCAGCAACATTCATCTCCCTGATTTCACCAATTTCCCTGTTAACCAGTTGTAAGTGCAACTGTGGGCACATAGCAGTATAGATTCTAAAGTACAATTTAAAAGATAAGAAGGGGATTAGGAGGCTAAAAGTGAAGTTGGATATCAATGAAACAAATAAATATCACAAACAACAATGAGATTATGGATAATTAAATAGCTCAAAGTCACCACAAAAGGATTTATTATTAGAGCTGGTTAAAAAAATGCCAATTACGTGTCTCAGGAAATTTTTTAATGTACATTTTATTTTATTTGTTAGTAGAAAAACAGCAGTATGTTTTTTGGTTAAAAAATACCAGTTTTCAAAAACAGGAAATGTTTCAAACCTCTCCCCCCCCCAACCCCCAATTAAAAAGCTAAACATTTCTTCTCAACCAGATTTTTTCATGAATACGTTCATTTGAGTCAAAAAGGCATTTTTGACAAAAATTACTTTGTTTCATCAAAAGACAAAGTGTCATTCAACTCCCTCTTACAGAGGCAGTTTGCATTCTCCAGAGAATCTATCATCACTTACCAAGGTCTATGTGAAGTTTCGAAGGTATTCCTGTGTGTCTGCTGGATAGCAAACAAGTAAGATGCTCAAGCAACAAAACAAAGAATGACCAGCTGGGCTTCTCTGCAATTGGATAGAACAGATGGATGAAACCTGGGACTTTCAAGCCCAAACAGTCAAGAGGTCTTCCAGCTAAGCTAAAGGCACAACTCTAGTACCTGGTAGCTATAGTAGGCTGTTATCCTGTGTCAGCTAGCCACCAAAGAAAGATGATCTCAGACACACACTATTCATGTTACATAAAAGGTTGAGCTCAGCTGTTTCTACACTGTATGTAAGTACAAAATCTGCATTAGTTTATACACTGAACAGACAGGAATTAAGGACAAATAAATAAAGTAACCAATCAACTAACCTTACTCCCCCAAGTCAGTTTGGTTACACTTTACATTTTTCTATATTAGAAACCCCCCCACCCCCAAACCTCCTATCTCTCCTGGAAACTGTCTGGCTCCAGATGGAGGTTTCAGCTAGTTCAGTGACTGTGACTCACATTTCATCCCTTCCTTTGGATTAGAGAACAGAGATGTGAGGAGTCAAGACAATCTGCGCCCATGAGGGCAAGACCATCTTCTGATTTTACCAACCTGACCACTCCTCTCAGAAAAGTCCTCCCTTTCATCACCCTGCGAACAGTTTTAATCTGCTCCAGCGTCTCAGCAGTTGTAGTGCCTCCTGAGGGAGTCTCTGTTGTTGCCCAATAATTTATACTAGTAGCACCTCATCCCCGAAAGTCCCTGCCTATCGTCTCATCCCTTCATTGCAGAGAAAGGGGTTTGTAGACTGTGATCATGTCCCCCAATCCTTCTCTGACCAGATTACATGACCCAGATCTGCAGCAGGTGGGATTGCCAAGGGAACTGGACCTGTTTACCCTATGAGGAGCTGACCCTATAAACATAGCGCTCTCAGGCTCTCCTTAAGACACCTTCTGCTCAAATTCATGGATTGTGGTGTTAGCCTTATCGGCACCTTCCATAGCTGCTCAATTTCCTATCTGGGTACATGGAGAGCCACAATTATATGCAGTATGCTGCTATATGTGGCCATATTCAGGCTACACTGCAGGAATGATCTTGCTAGTGACATTAGATTTCACTCTTCATGCCGTTAAGAATAGCATTAACTCCTTTAAAGGTAGTTCCATTCTGCAGTCACACATGCAGTCTATTTTCTAGCACCTTCACTCCAGATCACCGTATTATGTGCTTGTTACTAAATAGCTCTCCTCCGTAGTTATACCTCCCCAAAGATGCTACCAGTAGCTCTGCATAGATAGACACTGCACTATGAACGCATCTGGGAGCCTATCAGCTTTGTCCAGGAGGATTAAGGGAAGAGGTTCTTTTTTGGCTCATTTGCAAAAAACAGGTTCCTTTTCTGTACTCACTTGTTTGAGTTGACTGCAACAGCATATGCCAGACATAGTGAGTGTGACTCCTAATGGAGTCATTAGGGGGAATGCAAGTAATGGGTTAAAGTCACCAAGTAGTGAGTAAAATCACTCGGGTAGCTGTTTATATTACATTTTGTCTTGTCTTTGCTTTCTGGATTGTCAATAGAGCTGATGTGATTGCAGAATTTCCTTGGTAAATGCCAACACATGGAAATTTGCTTTCATTCCGAATCAGAATCAAAGGTTGAAACATCACAAAGAATATCCCCCCTCCAAAAAATAATATTCAGAAATCTCAAAACTTTGTTAGATAATGTAAAAAATATTTTATTTTGATAATGTTGACATGTTATCATGCAATATAAATGAAAGACAATATTAAATATGATATGAAAGTTGAAATAAAATAAATGAAAATGATAAAGTCAAAATGTTTTTACCCTACCTAGAGCAAATGTTTGACATCAAAATAAAATGAAAAAGGCTAAATTCTTCATTACCATTTTTTCAGAGCAAATTGATTTGTTCCACTGAAATGTTTCAGTTAAGAAAGCTAAATTTTTCGATGGAAAACGGTTGGATCCAAAAAAGTGACCAGTCTAGTTATTAGTGAATTTAATCATTTCTAATCCCCTCATGTCCTCTCAGAAATCCAAAAGCAGCTGTCCTGCCCCTACCTCTGCACTCTACCTTGTGAAAACATCTGCTTGAAAGAAGCCAAGGTCCAGAGACAACCCCTAGTTCTGAGCCATCCTGAACTTTGTGCCTGGACCCGGACTCTGTAGAAGACCAAACTAAAGGTCAGATTCTAAATTTCGCCCACACATCCTGAGCTTCCTAATAGTTAAGATCCAGAACCAACCTCTGCTGCTCTGGTCCGTCTCTTCTTGAAGCTATTCCCCACTTGGATGTCATGTATGAATGATTGCGCTTTGCTCCTGGTCTGTCACCTCTAGCTAGCAGCAGAGTGTAACTGCGCATCCCATATCTGGCTGTGCCCACAAACACTTGCGCTGTCTGAGCCTGGCTGATCAGGGAGACAGTATTTATTCAACTTCGATTCCCAGCTGAAAGAAAACGATGACGTTCGCAATGTTCATGTGCCACACAGGATCATTCGGAGCCCTGTTTCCCCCAGGCTCTCCAAGCTCTAAATCCCAGATGTTTCATGGCAGAAGCAGCCATGAAAATA